CTCATCATTTCTTAAGTCTGGAAATAAAGTGTAGAACGCTCCAACATCCTCTCTTCTTTGATTAATAGGATGAACCCAAATTAGCCTGTTTTTTCGCCTTCTCTTCGCTCGACGACGGAATAACAATAACGCAAGTAAATGCACTCTGTTCATTTTACAAATAAACAACAACTCTTCAACATCAATCACACACTCAACGATCAACACTCTGTTGCGTGAAAATGAACAGGCTGTTGCGTTTAGACGGCGACGGAGATTTTACCGTTCTGTGTGTACACTACGGGTTGTCCATGGGCGGCGACGGCAAATAATCCGTGACGGACAAAACCGCCATGTGTGTCCCCAGCCTTAGTCATCTGTTTATTCCGTCCTCTGTCTTACTTTATCCAATACTTTATTTAAGACACGTTTTTAACCTAACCTAACCTAACCTAACCTAACCTAACCTAACCTAACCCAACCCAACAAGAAACCTTTACAATAGAAGCTTCGTTATAATAAGAATATAGCCTATCATATTATCGTAAATACTATGCTAGAATTTTCTGTGCACATATATATGTGTATTTTTTACAATGTCAGTAGTAAGTTTATTTTTTGACGTTTAGATTAATTTAATCAAAACTTTTCAATATATTTCAACTAATTTAATAAGTTTTAATCAATTCAATTATGGTGTTGCACAATGTGATATAGGCTAATTAAAAACTGACCGTGAGTGCAGTTCCGGTACCCCCAGAAAGGCTCAAAGTGACCGTGAGTGCAGTTCCATAGTTGGATTAGGACCAGGGACTGACCGTGAGTGCAGTTCCAGCCCTCCCGAGTGCAGTTCGTTGTCAGCCATCCGAAAGGCACTATTCCAAAACGAATGCGGACCCTAGCCACTATTCCAAAATAATATGTTCGGTCAGGTATAATGTTAAAATAAATGTAATTAAACTAATATTACAAATAACAGTCTTACATTTACGTATGGAGTGTCAACTACACTTTTGAAAATGTCAGTTTCTATTTGATGGTCCTCTCATGATTCAAAACTTGGCCCAGCTTTCCTAGTAATTGGGTTTTTAATAATTCTGGTTGAGACACCAGCTGATCTTATTTGGTAACAAAGTTGCAATCTCATTCATTTAACAATGGTACTTTAAGTATATTTGCCTTAAAATAGCACCTAAATCTGATATAGTGAAAACAGCCGATATTGAAACAAGATACAAATTTCTTAAACGAAATGTATATATTTATATGTCTGCAAGAAAGCGAGTTGTGGAAATACGTTGTAAGGCAAATGGATGTCGTAACTTTGCACCTAAAACTTTTAATCTGTTACGAAGTCGTTGAAGCATTAAGAACACAAAGACGTGCTTGGGATATGCGAGGGTTGGAGTGTTGCAGGTATATTTTGTGGGAGAGTTGGCACTAGTGATTTTTGTGTATGCAGTTGTATAGTTCCCTTGATCAACTTGTAAAACCTTACAAGGACAATCATGACTGTGTGGCCCTAGGGAGACAAAGAATCAGTAGCACTTCCACGCATAAAGGACCTGGTTGATTTTGATCAGACAGCTAACAGTAAATGGTATTTATAGAAAATACCTGATATGTCAATTCTACCTTAACCTGGTAGTAATATTCATTCTAAAGTATGTCACTGGCTCAGTGAAGAGGTTAAGTACAAAGACAATTATAAGTTTATAATATGTTGTTAGAAAATTCAGCACCACTCTCGATCACTATTAGATATACATGACGAACATTGGAGCAGATATTTTACTTGTCATAGTGAGATTTAAATAAAAAAGTGAGTTTTAATAGTCAAAATTTATAAAAAACCAAAAAGTTAATTAGGAAGTATAAAATATTTTCTGAATAGTTCACTTTCGAGAGGTTGTTAGCAAAATTACGGTTTTTGTCAATAATGTAAAGTCTAAATGTACACCTTACATGGTTATTGACTAGTTTGTAAATCATAAACCAAACAAACACCCGTAATACCCCAAATAAGTCCATGAACTAATCGGAGGACTTTATTTGTATCCGAAACTCGAAATTGACGCGTATCCACGTCCAGTTAGTCATAACTACACGCAGTCACTCTGTCTAAATAATCGGAATAAACTGGGTTGATTAACGTTTCATAATCACTGAATGTTTAATTAGTGCATTTGTCAGTGCGATTATTACAATTCGTTAATTCAAGGGATAAATTAAACATCTGGAAAAAATACTTTAAACAATTATTTCCCAGGTTTTGGTGCGATTAGAGCTGGTAATCTTTACTCACTCCTCAAGAGAGAATACACACATAAAATATAAATACAAATCTGCCCTGTACCGTAAGGAACAATGATATGGTATTTAGTATTTTGGGAGACATTGGTCAGTCAGTGACCCAGTTGTATACGCTTAGGACTGCGAAGCCAAACAGCGATGCAGGTTTGCATTCCTCTGAATGTCATAATATTGATACGAGTTTACTTTGCTCAATACTCATCATTAACCGGTTTTGACCTATATTCGGGTGAAGTCTAGGATAGGCCGTCATGCTGTGCTTATTTATTCCTAGTTGTTTTAACAGTGCCATGACTCCTAGTTGGTACTCAAGGGAACAGCTCCGTGTCAAGGATGTCCCTTGGGATTTCCGAATGTCAAGTGTAGCTTAAAAACAGTAAATAATTATTACTTTATTCATTCAGTGTTCATATTTACACTGAACGCTAGCTTAATTCAAAGTGTGCTAAATTATAGGAGGTACAGTAGATGTTGGTGATCGCTGAGATGTTGGCACTGTTTCCATGTGTTGGTTTCAAAAGTCCCTTTCACACACTGCTCTGGCAATATTAATCCTACTCCACATAAGAATTTTAAACAGTAATATATTTCTGGTTATTCATATTTTCGATAAATTTATTTGGTTTTATGTTGATGAGTTGTTCGATTTAGGTACTGTGGTGTCTCTCAGGTGCTCATCAATTACTTGATAAACATACATTTTCATAATGGAATAGTTCGATGGTATAATTTCTTAATATCCTTGACAAAATAACGCTTTCAAAATTGTGATGAACCTCAATAACAAGTAGGCACGTCATTTCAGAAAAAAAGAACGATTTTCACAACACCGTATCGCAAAATTAATAACAATATGAACTGGATGATTATATACCGCACATGTTTCCTCCCTCTGGGCCTGTACATTTTCATTAATATGCTAAAAACTGCATTTCCCCTTTAAAAACATTAAAATTAATATGTTTGGATTTCACAAACACACACGAGCGTAACAAGGTAGCAAATTAAATTCAACTGAATAAAATGTAGTAACACTGAAAAAGCTTATGTACATTATATAATCCTTCGGGTATTACAAGGGAGGTTTTGTATCCCTTTAAGCTTGAAAGAGAAGCACAATATTGTAATTACTCCAGTAATGAGTCCTGGGCCGGAGTCCCGGGAGTCCCAGTATCCCTGGGGAACTCTCTGTATTGCGACAGGCTCAAACTTCGACTCCAACTTGTGCTCTAGTTAAAACAAACTACAGTACAAGTTATGGGTGTTCAAACTTAACATTTTTACTGCTAAAAATGTTTTGTTTAATGCACTTTTAAATTTGAACCTTCCATAGAGTGTTTTTACATTTTGTGTATTTAAAAAAAAAAAAAAAATGAACATGGATTATGAAGTACGTTGCGTGTGTGTAGCTCTTTGGCATTTTCAACAAGATTTTGCATTCTTAGTGTCAAGACTAGTGGCTTTTAAACGAATGAATCGCAATTTTTTTAAATAAAACTGATCCAAATAGATACATTTTTTGTGGATATGCTAGAGATTGAACCTGTGTCATCACGCATCGTACATTACGTTACTTGTGAATAGTGTATTTGTTTTGCAACAATTGAACAAGTTTTGCATTAAGATGTCTCTCAAGATTGATATTGTAAAAGACATGGAACAATAATATAAATCTAAAAATATTATAAACAATAATACAATCCTTACCAGTGAATTGTAGATTTTTATATTTTAATGCTATAGTGTCGATATTTTAATTTGTAAAATATATTTTTAATGCCAAGTTGTGGAGAATTAAGAGTTAAGCCCCCACCCCTTTAAAGAAGTAAAATACCGTTCTTTAAGAAATTATATTAACATCCACATGCTTAATTCTATCGGCAGAAAACAATTATGTAGGAAAGGACTGGGACGGGTGGCATCGTCCTGTAATCCAGCTACTAGGAGGTCACGAATTGTGGATTTTTATAGGGATCCACTGTGGATGCGATGCTCCCTGGTGTGGATTAACGTCCGCACTAGTGAGTACTACGACTATCCGCAGTACTCTCCTGATAATTAGACCAATTCGTAAATTACAAGGAAAAAAATGTGGGTTGGATTCCACTTTAAACTGTAGGTCCCTTAGTTGCCATTAGCTGTATGGGCTATTAATTAACAGCTGTGTCTAAGGAACATGTCGGCCTTAGTCACTAACAAGACTACAAGATCGCGCCACTCATCCTTCACTCATATTTGGGTTAAAATACGCACATAGTGGCGTACCCATCTTAAATAATTGATAATTGATAATAATTGATCATTGATCTTTTGAAATACAGTAGAATGGAAGCATACAAGCATTTTGTCGGTATGTCACATTTTTAGGACAACGTACCTCTACCGAATCCAAAGGCTTAATGGCTTAAAGCTTATTTAAATGATGGCAACAAAAGGAATTAAGTTCAAAATGCTAGAAAGTGTCTTAACTGTACTAGAAAATCAAGATAAACCTAACTTAGAATAAAGGTAGTCAGTTGAATATTATCTGTACCTAATAACATACTCAATATAATTTCATCTTTGGATTTCTTGGATATAATAGAACAGGATATTCCAAGTCAAACCCTGATAATACAAAATTTTCTTTTCTTCGTCCTTTCCTTAATCATTTAAGTTATAATTGTTAACATAGAATATAATTGTGAGTAGTTTCTCTATAATAAGACTTCTTATTTTGGTTTTTATTTCACTCGACTTTCTCGTTTTGTGGAAATTCGATGTTTTCCAGTTTGCCCTGGTCTGCAACTGTGCTGTTCTTAGATTCTTCTGCATTATACACTCTCCCCAATCTCCTAGCTGCTATATCGTCACTGAATTTAACCTCTATCCTAATCGGGACGTCAACAAGACTCTTCTCCCAAACTTTGCCCACGTAGTTCTTGACTTTTGAATCTCTGAAAAGTAACACAGGGTAAAATTTAGAATTAGAAAGCCTGTACTTTGTTGATTCTTCTTTCCATTGGAAGTGTAAAAGAATCGGTACGGATCGCCCATCCCACACTATTCCTCCACTAATATGAAATACACATTAGTAGCGTCCCCATCTGAAAATAGTGATCAAGTGATGTACTGCTATTGCATTTTTTCAACGGGCAGGAGCATCAAGTTTGAAAAATAAATTAGAACTATAAAGCGCTATTAAAAATGAAACTTTCAAAAACTAAAAACTAACACTAAACCTAAGCTAACCGTTACAGTATAGGCTACTTACTCCCAAACAAGACTGTTGCAAATCTTCTTTAGTTTCGGTATATTTCGAAAAACCTTCCACCGTTGTTGTAAAGTCTCTTGGATAACCTCAAAAACAAAATGTTGCAGCTCTGTCTTGAGCACAGACGAGAACCAACTACTCTTGACCAGCTTTTGTACCACAGAATCAAGCCCTTCAACTCTACTTTCATCAACATCTTCATCAGTCAATGTGACATTTAAGTTACTCACAATAGAATTTTCGAACCATTCAGTAATTTCACAGGTTCCATCGAGGTGACTACTTAAAGTCACTGAAAGGTCTGTTGGATTATTGAAGACGTCTATGAAGAATGTTTTGATCCCTTCTCGGCTCCTTATGGAGAACCCTAAGTTAAGGCTTGGCAAGACGCATGGGAGAGTAACCTCACAAATACCTAATCTACCATTGCAAGCTACCGCTAAGGTGGCCTTATTCGGGAGAGTTATGCTCTGCACCAAACATACGTCTGAAAATTCCCCACTGTCGAGCTCTATTTGCAAAGTCTTGTCTAAATCTGGTGTCAATCGAGAGTCACCTAGCAAAATACGTTTGCGTTTACGTCTCAGACAGTTGCCACGTGTGTTCACAAATTTCGCCAACTTGAAAGAGTCGATTCGGTTGAATTTGTTTTTTCTGTCCAGGCTGAAGTCATCTATACATTTCAGCTCTTCTTGACCTTTCTTGCCTGTACTGATTGATCTACTTACTGATGTGCTGTCACTGAAAGAAGAAAGTGTGATTAGGTTTGTGCTGGTACAATTTAAAGAGATAAATAATTAAATAACATAATCATAAGTAATCATAATAATCATGTTATGTCATGATCGTAACATAATAATGTTTTAAATTGGTTGTAAAATTTTTGATTTGTTCTAGGTAAGTGCATTCAAACATTCATGACACGAGGCGAGAGGTAAGTGTTACTACTAATTACTAAGAGATTCATCATTTGCATAATACTAGAAATTCCATCCCCATGTTAAATTTGTGTCCAGCTTTTTTGATCAAAATCGTCGTAGTTGATGTGAGGCAACTACAGATTGTGCTGATCTAAATTACTGAATTCTGCCGAATACACAATATTTTTAACCAAGTCAATCTTAGGGAATGACTTATGAGGAAATATAGCAACTGGTAATGCCCATCAACCTGGTCAGCAACAAATCATAAGGTCTAAAATAGAATTTAAGACACTAGCGCATTCTGTGTCTGGCTCACACAACTACATTCTTTTTTAATATAAAATTGGCTACATTCATCATTTGCATACTTTAAAATATTCAAGAGTATTACTTACATTATGCGTTTCAAGACTTGTAATTATTACTTGTGACGGAAGCATTGTACAAATATAACCACGTATTCAACGAGTTTATCATGAATCTACACATTTTAATATTTACCTCTTTTCACACTCCACCTGAAGTTGCGGAAGACTTCCTACAACGTTGGACGTTTGTTTGATCGCTTCATCAATGACAGCCATCATAACATGTTTAACCTCTTCTTTGTACAAGTTGAAAGGCCATCCGGTGCGTTGAATGTAGTCAACCATCACAGCCTTCACTTCTTGGCTGACGAACGGATCTCTCTGATCTGGAGCTACAGTAACTTTGAATTGTTTCAGGACGAGAGTTTCGTCCACAATCGAGGACGCTCGACCAGTCTCGGTCTTGACTAGAACTGGAATATCTATCGGATCATCGTGAACTGCCACGACCACTTTTCCCGGAAGTTTTTTGCCGCCGGAGGTCTCGTAGAGGAAAGAGTAGCCAATGACAATTCTAGGGACGACACACGGCACGGTTACAATACACGCGCCCCTTCTAGTGTTACAGTCTTCTATCAGTTGAGTTTGATAGGGGAAGGTTACACTCTGTATTAAACATCCGCCGTTTAGATGCAGTTTATCGTTTATATTAAATTTCTCTTTCATTTGTGGTGAGTAAAACTTCTTTCCAGGTATGACGCGTTGTTTGTCAGAACCAATGCAGGGGAAAGGTTTGCTGATGATGTCTAAGACTCTTCTTGAGTTGATGATGTTGAAAGCTTTTCGTCTGCTGGTAGAGTAGTCGTCCTGGCAGTGGTCTTCATATAGCGGCTCTAACGTAGGTGCTGGAGTCAGCGGGAGTTCGGTGCTGTAAAATAAATATTTTAATTTAATACTGTGTGTGTTTTATTTGCATTGAACAAGAAAGATCTTGAAGATTGGAACACGATGCTATTTCTATAATTGTATTCGTCAACAGAAGAATCTATTTGGATTTATTTGAATCAAAATACAGAATAAAAGTATGAATATTGATAAGAATAAAACCTTTTACATAACTATTGTTTACTAGTATTTGTCTTAGAAGTGCTTGAAGCCTAGACTTTCTAGCTCATGGAAAAAAACTACAAATAAAACTTCTAATCCCACGGAACACTAATATTTGAAATATTAAAAAAAAATATTTTGAGACGGTAAATAAATGTTCAGTGGCTGTTTAAAATTAACGAAATCTACATTGTCCTTATGGCGGGCAAATACAAAAATAATTAAATAAATTTATAAATTAAATAAATAAAATTAGTTTATTGTTGCTCATTTGTTGTCACTTATTTATTTATTTAGAGTATACTACCAGAGTACGCGTTCTTCGTACGAGGTTGGTATATAAGTATAAAATACTTATTGCAGTTATACTCGTGCAATGAAGTAGGATAGGTTTGAGCAATTTTGTTCTTTCAATTACGGTATGCTTATACATCTATTATAGCCATAATGTTCCACCACTGCACCTAAACAATATAAAAAAATTAAATTATCAAACATTTGGGCAATATCATAAATTATTTATTACTTAAAAAACATGAACATAAAAAAACCGTTAAAAACATAAACATTAAAAAACATAACTGAAACAATCCTACTTTGACAGAAAATTAGCTGTAATCATAATTGCAAAAAATAATAGTGCTGCTCCCCTGTTGGTAAACACCTTACGACATTTAATGCTATTGAATAAAATCATAGAACCAACTTGTTTCGTTGAATCAATTGACACAATTATTTAATTCCTTTTGAATGTGAACATCCATAAGGTTACCACGGAAAACTCCAGTCCAGTGCAACTGGGGTGGAGCCCGAATGGATTTCGGAGATACGAATATGCCTATATGTTAATCGGGAATGTGAGAACATGAAAATTGTGATTGTGATCATGCCGAATTTCAGCCCAATCCGACCAGTAGTTAATGCGTGATTAAACTTCAAACAAACAAACACACAAACTTTCAGATTTATAATATTGGTATGATTATAAATGATTTCTTTACTTTAATACTTTAAATACGTTTTAATGGTATTGTTTGACCATCCACATTTATATTTACTTTGATATTTGGTTGCTTTGTTAATGCCCGCACAAATAATTGTTTATCATGCACAACGAACAATCTCGTCTTCACTGATTTTAGTCACTAGCTCAGTAATTACTGCACTTTACATTGTAAAATTGATCTCATTGTTTAGTCATCTTGCAAACATATTCCATATAACAATGATATAACTCACGAATCTATTCAATGTATTGGTTGTCACCGTTTGTTAAAGTAAAAAAATAAATCCAAGATGGCCGTTGGATTTTGAAAACAATTCAAAACTACAAACACAATTTCTTATTTACAGTATTTAAAATGTAATCACTTTGGTGTTTACAAATTCATAATTTAGCAGCTGTTTGAAATTATTTACAATGGCCGCTAACCTACAAGGACTCTAAAAACATAATACAATTGGACAAAATGATCTTGCTATCTCACAACCATAATTTTGAATGTTCATACACTAAGTGATAACATTGATCACTACCTGGGTGTCGAAGGCTGGGATGTTGATAGCACTATGGTTTCGGCCGTCGTAGTTATTTCATCAGTTGTTCTCCTCTCTCTGTAAATGAGAAGAAGGTGATGTTTTCTTGGGTTATAGCTATATGCGTTGAATCAAAATTTAACGCTTTTGTGTTTAATTTCCAATAAAGACTTTTCACAAAAACATTTTGGGGTTTCTTAAACTCACTCCTGATTGCTCCTTAAGCTTATTCTTTTAAAAAGGAAAATAGTCTGTACTCAAAAGTAATGACCTGAACTTTGGAACAACTTCAGCAAAAAATAATGTTTTTAAAATGTGTTATTCATTGTGACCCTTTGTTGGAATATATAATTGACAAAATATAAGAATTACCTTATCCAACCACAGTTGCTGGAATGACAACTAGTTTCGTTCCTTAGAACATCGTCAGGTCATTGTAGCAACCACATCATCAATGTATTAATACATTGTGGTATGTCAAAAGATCCTTTAAAACACTGTCAGAATCACAATAGTAAAAACTAGTCATATTGATCAAATTATTAAAATTGAGTAAAAAGTGATACAAATGGTTAAAACTGTAAAGGCTGGACAGCACTGTCTTATCACTGCTGACCAAAATGCCAAAACATTTTTGTTTTTAGTCAGTGACAGTGATGAGACAGTGCCGGCCAGCCTTTACAGTTTTAACAATTTTTTCACTTTTTATTTAATTTTAATAATTTGGTCAACATGACTAGTTTTCCTTTTGTGATTCTGACAGTGTTTTAATGAATGTTTTGCCATACTACAATGTATTAATACATTAATGACGTGGTTGCATATAATGGCCTGACGATGTTCTAAGGAACGAAACTAGTTGTCATACCAGCAACTGTGGTTATATAAGGTAATTCTTCTATTTTATCAATTTTTAAAATGAGCTACATCCAGTGTTTGATTGACTAACAAAGTGACTCGGAAAACCTAATTTCATATGGTCAGGGCAAATAATTAAAATTTGCTACGGAAAGAATGAAATACGTATCACAATGAACTACACGATGGCAATCGTCAATCAAAGTGATTAACGAACGAAACATAGCTTCGTAGCGGTGGACGAACATTACGCGAATGAGAAGGGGGGGGGGGTTAACTGAAATCTAATATATACTTTATTTCACAAAATTAAACTACCATTTGCATGTAAGCGACATTCTTCCTTAATGTGTCATATAAAATGTAAACGATTGAGGAATTGCCTACAGGTATGAGTGCTATGTACTGTAGTAAAGTGCCAGTGTTGCAGATCAGAGAATCTATTGCGGTCAAGAACCGGCATTGGAAAGTTATATCTACACAATAGTATTACAAATGCACATTGATAAAAAAATGCTATAAAGTTATACGACGTACCACTCAAATTAGCAAAAACTTACACGATTTCGTCGCAGATTTGATGCAAGATGTTGATGTGTGAAAACACGTTACTGGTTTGGTAGAAAGCTTCCAGAATCACTCGAACTGCAAAGGCTCTGACTTCGTTCTTGTACATAGGATAAAGCCATTTCTTCTTGGTGATTTCATGTCTCTCTTGATAATCGTTTCCCACCTTGGTGCCGGTATTTATAAACACTTTGTATGTGGACAGCAGTTGTTCGTTATTGACCTCGGATATCTTACAAACTCGGGTGTTACTCTTCTCAATGGTCACTTGCACCGTTATCGGATCGTCGTTGATTTCCATTAGGTTTATGGTATTAGTTAAATCATGTTTTCTTTTATATCCAATCACCATTCTTGGAACAATGCAAGGAATAGTGACCACACAAATGTTTGAATTCGATATACACTCTGTGGTTAGTTGTGCATGGTACGGAAGAGTTATACTTTGCACTAAGCAGCCATCACTAAGCACTTTCTGTACATTTTTGTACTGGGAATGATGTAGAGGATAGGGAGATAGTTGGCGGTCTTTGATCAGAACTCTTTTCCACGATGGATTGACACATTCATTAGGCATGTCAATATACTTGAGCACAAGTGTTGGATCGATAATGTTAAACTCTTGCGTTCTATTGTAAAGGTATTCATCTCTACACGTCGGGGGTAGACTTACTGGGTTTATACTGGGCGTTGGAATCGGTGGTTCCATCGTTGGCTTTTCTGTTGGAATCGATCTGAAAACCACATTTGGCTAGGTAATTGGAGGAATGAATACAGTTTTTCTTATATATTAAGTTGTTGGCATATACAGGGTGTCCATAAAAACATTTAAGGACTATGGAAATGAATCCTCATTCTAAAAGGAGGGAAAAAGTTAATATGAAGGTATGTCCAAAAATGCATATACACCCAGTTATCCACCATTTTGTTTTTTATACAAACATATTTTTGTCACTGAAGTTTTTCATTCGATGATTATGAAATTTGGTAACCATGTTATCATACGCAAGACCTATTATAGAAAAAAATAATTAAGTTCCGATTTTAACTTTCAAAATGGCGGTCAATTGATTTTTATAACTTATATAACAAAAAAATGGCTATTTTTTTTTAAAAAATGTCAAGAATACCTATTTTAAATTTTTAATTCCCTATCAAACAATAGCAAGATCAAAAAGTTCGGACAAGAGAAAACTGAAATATAAAGCTTTTTTAGCTGCAAGACAAGGCAAAATTAAGGGTTCCCCGACTAACTTTGCCTCATTTTTTTGACACAAAACACGGTATATTTCAGTTATCTTTTGTCCGATCTTTTTCATCTTGGTATCGTTTGATAGGTATTTAAAATTCAAAAAAAGTATACTTGTCATTTTTTCATAAAATTAACCGTTTTTTAGTTATTTAAGTTATAAAAATTTAAACGGCCGCCATTTAGAAATTTACAATTAAAACAACTATATTATTTTTTCTATAATAGGTCTTGTCTATGTTAACATGGTTTGATAATCCAAAAAGTCATAATCATCTTATGATTTTCCAAATTCCATCCAAATTTCATAATCATCGAATGAAAAACTTCACAGACAAAATATTTTTGTATAAAAATAAAATGGCGGATAGCTGGGTAAATATGCATTTTCGGACATACCTTCACATAAACCTTTTTCTTCCTTTTAGTATGAGGATTCATTTCCCAAAGTTCTGAAACGTTTTTTATGGACACCCTGTATATACCCAGGAAAATGTTGCGAACATGAAGACATTTTAATTTAAGTACTGTACAAACTGAATTTGTATTTAAATATACTCCCTAAGACGTTGTTAGGGCCGAAAGTAGCTAAGCTAAAGAAAATCTGTAAAAAAATTGAAATAATCAAATCAAAATCTCCTTATTTCTGAATTAATGTTACATGTTTGTTAAAAATTGTGTGTAGGCCAACAGGAAAAATAATTCCCGAGTAGACTATCCGTCTGTGTTTGGGAATGAGTTGCTAATACAGCTATACACAGGTCCATAAACATTCAGGAGTACTTGACACTTAATGATGATAGTAAATAAAAAAATATTAACAAGATCAAGAGAGAAAAAAAACCTAATTGCATCGAAACATCCAAAACACAAATTTAGTGATTGTAAGTGGTATTTAGCAATGAAGGAAAAAAAGTGATTTGGTGACGCATGAAACTGCAGAAATTTACGAGTACAACGATTTGAGTAATCCTTCTGATTGCTCCATGCCGATATTTAAAAGCCAGCTCATGACTCTACGCTTAAACACAGCGACGCTGTCACTCTCCGCCTCTCGAATATGTGAAGGCAAGTTTCTATACAATGTATGACAAACGTAATAAGGTATAGTTTTATGGGTTGAATGGGAGAGTCTGGGAAAAGAAAAGCCGAAGTTAGTGTTACTTCTAGTCAAATAACGATGTTGAACAGGAGAAAAAACCGAACATCAAGTTTTATGAAAATAAGAAGATTTTTTATGAACAATTGTCGAATGTTTAAAACTGGAAAGTCGCAAAACAGTTGCAAGGAAGAAAATCTAGAGTTTTTATTTAAAATAGTTTTGATAACAGATCGTTGAACGACAGAAAGTGGTTCCAGAACAGTAGGAAGGGCACCACCCCAAGCCAGGATACCATACTGCAACACTGACTGCACGTAGGCAAAGTACACGGTCCGCAACTGCTGCCCCGAATGCACCTCCCGAATCTGCGTGAATGCGTAAATGAGCTTACGTACTTTGTTTTTGACGCATTGAACATGCGGTGCCCAAGTCAATTTACTATCGATCACAACCCCTAAATACTTATACTGCTCCACACGTTCAATCACTCCACATGCGCAGCCAATCGCGAGTGCATCGCCACAGCAGTGCAGCTTCAAAGATCTCTCACCTAGTCCAAAGTTATTTCTAAGAAAAATAGGAAGACATTTATGTGTATTATAATCAAACCAAGATTTTAAATTGTGGAAATCTGTCGATGCAGAACCGTACACCTCGTCCCACGTACTGCCGGTGGTCACAACCGCCGTGTCATTAGCGAACAGTATCACCTTGCTATTTAATTTAACTTTAGATATGTCATTTATGTAAATAGAGAATAATAGAGGTCCGAGAGTACTGCCTTGACCCACACAATATTCTACCGGTGTTACATCACTCACAACTCCATTTATGGAAACTACTTGTTCCCGAGACTTAAAATAGTTCGAAAACCATCTTAGAGTTGGCCCTTCGATACCTATACATTCTAATTTACTTATTAGCATGTTTCCGTCAATTGAATCAAAGGCGAAATTATTGTGGAAATTATTGTGTAAGATCCAAAAAAGTTATAAGATTTTTTTTGTTTTCACTGAATGATTCAAAGATAAATTTTGTAAGATCGAATAGAGCGTCTGAAGTATTTCTGTCGTTTCGAAAACCATACTGTGAACTGGAAACTAAATTTTCTTGATTTAAGTAATTTGACAATTGGATTTTCACACATTTCTCAAGTATTTTGGAAAACACCGTTAGAAGGGAAATGAAGGGAAAATGAAAGGGGAATGAATAAATAATATGAAACCCACGAATTACCTTGGTTAGTAAGGGTTCACCTTTCCTAATGAGTATGTACTGTCAAAAATAGCTCTACATATGATTATGGCTCATATAATTAGATACTGCAAGGAGAAAATAAACTAATACTTACGGTTGAATGGTCAAGCTCTTGCAGTATTGCTTTAACCTCAGTTGTTGACCGTCCAGATTAAATAAGTTGTGTTTTCGATGGTAAAATTCTATGAAGATCTCGATCAGGAACCGTTTGACTTCTTCTTTGTACGAGTAATATGGCCAGCCTTTTTGTACTAAGTCTTCCATTAAAGTCTTAACCCTAGATTGATATTGCCCTTTATTGTTCCCACCCTTAAAGTTCATAACCACTCGGTATTTGGCCAAAAGAGTGTCGTCTAGTTCATTCAGAACTGTACACTTGTCATTGTTGTCCCTGACAAAGTTCAACACCAAATCAATCGGTCCGTCGTGGACATCAACCGTAACCATTCCGAGAGTTGGTTGTATACCTGCTAATACATAGTAGTACGTCAGCAGTACTCTGGGAAATATACATGGAAAGGTCACTTTGCACTTGAATGAACCCGTGGTGCAATCTAAAGACAGGCGTAGATCTCTGTTGACGGTGGTGCTTTGAACCAAACAGCCATCTTTTAGCTGCAGGTCCTGGATGTGTTCGGTGGAAGAGAAACTATTCGTCAGATTCAGGCTTTGAATAAGAACTCTCTTTTTATTTAAATTTAAACAAGAGCCTTTTACTTTGTTGATTGAAATTATTTTGGATGTATCAACCAAATTGAATGGCGAATTTTCTCTGAATTGGTGATAGTCGTCAGTACAAGTAGGACTCGTTGTTTGGATACTATCAGGACCAAAGGTTGTAAATATAGACTCAGTTGTGTGAGAAATAGTTTGACTTTCACGCTCAATAGTTGAAGTGGGTTCATCTATATCAGAAACATCGAATGTAAATGTAGGCTCAGTTGTAGGAGCAATAGTTAAACTTTCAGGCTCAACTGTTGAAGTCGCTTTATCTATTTCAAAATCAACTGTTGTAAACAAAGCCTCGATTGTGGGAGCAATTGTTATACTTTCCGGCTCAATTGTGGAAGTTGGTTCCTCCCTGAAAGAGAAAAATATCGTACTTGTAATGTTTATTTATTCTACAATAATTTGTGAATATAATAAAAATATTACATTTTGTAATGTTTTTCAAGGTGAAAAGGCGGACAATGAACAAAATTCTCTTGATCACATCATCCTGGGAGAATGAATTTTACCAAAGACCGAATAAAATTACGTTAAAGGTATTTCGGTACCAACGGTGCTCGAGACCTTTCGCGGCAACATATGTTGTGATTTAGGCGACATAATTGATCATCTCGCGTCAAATACCTTATGTAAGGCTCCTCCCGGAAATTTTTCAGGAATTATTTTTACCATTCCCAATAAGTATAAACTTAAATATCAGATATACTTTTACTTCCACAAAATTAAGAAAACCATTAGCATGTTATTAAAATCCTTCCTAAGTTGGTGAAAAAAATATTCAATTGAGGTTTCCATAGCTTTAAGAGACGAACACTATGTAGCTAGGTACCAATTTTGCCTGCACCCAGAATCGGGAATCTATTTCGGTCAAGAACCGACTTTGAAAAAGTGATATCTACAAATTAATATAAAGTTATACGACATACCATTCAAATAACAACTTGGTAAAAACTTACACAATTTCATCGCAGATTTGATGCAAGTCATTGATATGTGAAAACACGTTACTGGTTTGGTAGAAAGCTTCCAGAATCACTCGAACTGCAAAGGCTCTGACTTCGTTCTTGTACATAGGATAAAGCCATATCTTCTTGGTGATTTCACGTTGTTTTTGACTGTTATTACTGCCGGTAATTGTAAATACTTTGTATGTGGACAGCAGATGTTCGTTATTGACCTCTGAAATCTTACAAACTCGGGTGTAACTCGGGTTACTCTTCTCAATAGTCACTTGCACCGTTATCGGATCGTCGTAGATTTCCATTAGGATCGGGGGCTTGAGTAAATCATGTTTTCTTTTATATCCTATTACCATTCTTGGAACAATGCAAGGAATAGTGACCACACAAATGTTTGAATTCGATATACACTCAGTGGTTAGTTGTACACGGTACGGAAGAGTTATACTTTGCACTAAGCAGCCATCACTAAGCACTTTCTGTACATTTTTGTACTGGGAATGATGTAGAGGATAGGGAGATAGTTGGCGGTCTTTGATCAGAACTCTTTTCCACGATGGATTGACACATTCATTAGGCATGTCAATATACTTGAGCACAAGTGTTGGATCGATAATGTTAAACTCTTGCGTTCTATTGTAAAGGTATTCATCTCTACACGTCGGGGGTAGACTTACTGGGTCTATACTGGGCGTTGGAATCGGTGGTTCCATCGTTGGCTTCTCTGTTGGAATCGATCTGAAAACCACATTTGGCTAGGTAATTGAATGAATGAATACCATTTTTCATATATGCTATGTTGCTCGGTATATATACACTCAGGGAATTGTTGCAAATTTAAATTCATTTAAAACTCATTATGGTACAACCGAATTGGTATTTAAATATATTCTCTAAGACGTTGTTAGGACCGAAAGTAGTTAAGCTAAAGAAAATTTGTAAAAAAAATGGAAATAAATAATATGAAACCCCTGAATTACCTTGGTAAGTAAGGGTTCACCTTTCATAATGAGTATGTACTGTCCAAAATAGCGCTACATATGATTGTGGCTCATATAATTAGGTACTGCAAGGAGAAAATAGACTAATACTTACGGTTGAATGGTCAAGCTCTTGCAGTATTGCTTTAACCTCAGTTGTTTACCGTCCAGATTAAATAAGCTGAGTTTTCCATGGTAAATTTCTATGAAGATCTCGATCAGGAACCGTTTGACTTCTTCTTTGTATGAGTAATATGGCCAGCCTTTTTGTACTAAGTCTTCCATTAAAGTCTTAACCCTAGATTGATATTGCCCTTTATTGTTCCCATCCTTAAAGTTCATAACCACTCGGTATTTGGCCAAAAGAGTGTCGTCTAGTTCATTCAGAACTGTACACTTGTCATTGTTGTCCCTGACAAAGTTCAACACCAAATCAATCGGTCCGTCGTGGACATCAACCGTAACCCTTCCGAGAGTTGGTTGTATACCTGCTAATACATAGTAGTACGTCAGCAGTACTCTAGGAATTACACACGGAAAGGTCACTTTGCACTTGAATGAACCCGTGGTGCAATCTAAAGACAGGCGTAGATCTCTGTTGACGGTGGTGCTTTGAACCAAACAGCCATCTTTTAGCTGCAGGTCCTGGATGTGTTCGGTGGAAGAGAAACTATTCGTCAGATTCAGGCTTTGAATAAGAACTCTCTTTTTATTTAAATTTAAACAAGAGCCTTTTACTTTGTTGATTGAAATTATTTTGGATGTATCAACCAAATTGAATGGTGAATTTTCTCTGAATTGGTGATAGTCGTCAGTACAAGTAGGACTCGTTGTTTGGATACTATCAGGACCAAAGGTTGTAAATATAGACTCAGTTGTGTGAGAAATAGTTTGACTTTCACGCTCAATAGTTGAAGTGGGTTCATCTATATCAGAAACATCGAATGTAAATGTAGGCTCAGTTGTAGGAGCAATAGTTAGACTTTCAGGCTCAACTGTTGAAGTCGCTTTATCTATTTCAAAATCAACTGTTGTAAACAAAGCCTCGATTGTGGGAGCAATTGTTATACTTTCCGGCTCAATAGTGGAAGTTGGTTCCTCCCTGAAAGAGAAAAATATCGTACTTTTAATGTTTATTTATTCTACAATAATTTGTGAATATAATAAAAATATTACATTTTGTAATGTTTTTCAAGGTGAAAAGGCGGACCATGAGGAAAATACTCTTGATCACATCATCCTGGGAGAATGAATTTTACCAAAGACTGAATAAAATTACGTTAAAGGTATTTCGGTACCAACGGTGCTCGAGACCTTTCGCGGCAACATATGTTGTGATTTAGGCGACATCATTGATCATCTCGCGTCAAATACCTTATGTAAGGCTCCTCCCGGAAGTTTTTCCGTAATTACTTTCACCATTCAAAATAAGTATAAACTTAAATATCAGTTTTACTTTTACTTCCACAAAATTAAGAAAACTATTAGCATGTTATTAAAATCCTTCTTAAATTGGTAAAAAAAATTAATCAATTGAGGTTTCCAAAGCTTTAAGGAACGAACGCTATGTAGCTAGGTACCAATTTTGCCTGCACCCAGAATCGGGAATCTATTTCGGTCAAGAACCGACTTTGAAAAATTGATATCTACAAATTAATATAAAGTTATACGACATACCATTCAAATAACAACTTGATAAAAACTTACACAATATCATCGCAGATTTGATGCAAGTCATTGATATGTGAAAACACGTTACTGGTTTGATAGAAGGCTTCCAGAATCACTCGAACTGCAAAGGCTCTGACTTCGTTCTTGTACATAGGGTAAAGCCATATCTTCTTGGTGATTTCACGTTGTTTTTGACTGTTATTACTGCCGGTAATTGTAAATACTTTGTATGTGGACAGCATATGTTCGTTATTGACCTCTGAAATCTTACAAACTCGGGTGTTACTCTTCTCAATAGTCACTTGCACCGTTATCGGATCGTCGTAGATTTCCATTAGGATCGGGGGCTTGAGTAAATCATGTTTTCTTTTATACCCTATCACCATTCTTGGAACAATGCAAGGAATAGTGACCACACAAATGTTTGAATTCGATATACACTCTGTGGTTAGTTGTGCACGGTACGGAAGAGTTATACTTTGCACTAAGCAGCCATCACTAAGCACTTTCTGTACATTTTTGTACTGGGAATGATGTAGAGGATAGGGAGATAGTTGGCGGTCTTTGATCAGAACTCTTTTCCACGATGGATTGACACATTCATTAGGCATGTCAATATACTTGAGCACAAGTGTTGGATCGATAATGTTAAACTCTTCCGTTCTATTGTAAAGGTATTCATCTCTACACGTCGGGGGTAGACTTACTGGGTCTATACTGGGCGTTGGAATCGGTGGTTCCATCGTTGGCTTCTCTGTTGGAATCGATCTGAAAACCACATTTGGCTAGGTAATTGAATGAATGAACACCATTTTTCATATATGCTATGTTGCTCGGTATATATACACTCAGGGAATTGTTGCAAATTGAAATTCATTTAAAACTCATTATGGTACAACCAAATTGGTATTTAAATATATTCCCTAAGACGTTGTTAGGACCGAAAGTAGTTAAGCTAAAGAAAATTTGTAAAAAAATGGAAATAAATAATATGAAACCCCTAAATTACCTTGGTAAGTAAGGGTTACCTTTCATAATGAGTATGTACTGTCCAAAATAGCGCTACATATGATTATGGCTCATATAATTAGGTACTGCAAGGAGAAAATAAACTAATACTTACGGTTGAATGGTCAAGCTCTTGCAGTATTGCTTTAACCTCAGTTGTTTACCGTCCAGATTAAATAAGCTGAGTTTTCCATGGTAAATTTCTGTGAATATCTCGATCAGGAACCGTTTGACTTCTTCTTTATATGAGTAATATGGCCAGCCTTTTTGTACTAAGTCTTCCATTAAAGTCTTAACCCTAGATTGATATTGCCCTTTATTGTTCCCATCCTTAAAGTTCATAACCACTCGGTATTTGGCCAAAAGAGTGTCGTCTAGTTCATTCAGAACTGTACACTTGTCATTGTTGTCCCTGACAAAGTTCAACACCAAATCAATCGGTCCGTCGTGGACATCAACCGTAACCATTCCGAGTGTTGGTTGTATACCTGCTAATACATAGTAGTACGTCAGCAGTACTCTGGGAATTACACATGGAAAGGTCACTTTGCACTTGAATGAACCCGTGGTGCAATCTAAAGACAGGCGTAGATCTCTGTTGACGGTGGTGCTTTGAACCAAACAGCCATCTTTTAGCTGCAGGTCCTGGATGTGTTCGGTGGAAGAGAAACTATTCGTCAGATTCAGACTTTGAATAAGAACTCTCTTTTTATTTAAATTTAAACAAGAGCCTTTTACTTTGTTGATTGAAATTATTTTGGATGTATCAACCAAATTGAATGGCGAATTTTCTCTGAATTGGTGATAGTCGTCAGTACAAGTAGGACTCGTTGTTTGGATACTATCAGGACCAAAGGTTGTAAATATAGACTCAGTTGTGTGAGAAATAGTATGACTTTCACGCTCAATAGTTGAAGTGGGTTCATCTATATCAGAAACATCGAATGTAAATGTAGGCTCAGTTGTAGGAGCAATAGTTAGACTTTCAGGCTCAACTGTTGAAGTCGCTTTATCTATTTCAAAATCAACTGTTGTAAACAAAGCCTCGATTGTGGGAGCAATTGTTATACTTTCCGGCTCAATAGTGGAAGTTGGTTCCTCCCTGAAAGAGAAAAATATCGTACTTTGTAATGTTTATTTATTCTACAATAATTTGTGAATATAATAAAAATATTACATTTTGTAATGTTTTTCAAGGTGAAAAGGCGGACCATGAAGAAAATTCTCTTGATCACATCATCATGGGAGAATGAATTTTACCAAAGACCGAATAAAATTACGTTAAAGGTATTTCGGTACCAACGGTGCTTGAGACCTTTCGCGGCAACATATGTTGTGATTTAGGCGACATCATTGATCATCTCGCGTCAAATACCTTATGTAAGGCTCCTCCCGGAAATCTGTCCGTAATCACTTTTACCATTCCCAATAAGTATAAACTTAAATAACAGATATACTTTTACTTCCACACAATTAAGAAAACTATTAGCATGTTATTAAAATCCTTCTTAAATTGGTAAAAAAAATAAATCAATTGAGGTTTCCATAGCTGTAAGGGACAAACACTATGTAGCTAGGTACCAATTTTGCGTGCACCCAGAATCGGGAATCTATTTCGGTCAAGAACCGACTTTGAAAAAGTGATATCTACAAATTAATATAAAGTTATACGACATACCATTCAAATAACAACTTGGTAAAAACTTACACAATTTCATCGCAGATTTGATGCAAGTCATTGATATGTGAAAACACGTTACTGGTTTGATAGAAAGCTTCCAGAATCACTCGAACTGCAAAGGCTCTGACTTCGTTCTTGTACATAGGATAAAGCCATATCTTCTTGGTGATTTCACGTTGTTTTTGACTGTTAATACTGCCGGTAATTGTAAATACTTTGTATGTGGACAGCAGATGTTCGTTATTGACCTCTGAAATCTTACAAACTCGGGTGTTACTCTTCTCAATAGTCACTTGCACCGTTATCGGATCGTCGTATATTTCCATTAGGATCGGGGGCTTGAGTAAATCATGTTTTCTTTTATACCCTATCACCATTCTTGGAACAATGCAAGGAATAGTGACCACACAAATATTTGAATTCGATATACACTCTGTGGTTAGTTGTGCACGGTGCGGAAGAGTTATACTTTGCACTAAGCAGCCATCACTAAGCACTTTCTGTACATTTTTGTACTGAGAATGATGTAGAGGATAGGGAGATAGTTGGCGGTCTTTGATCAGAACTCTTTTCCACGATGGATTGACACATTCATTAGGCATGTCAATATACTTGAGCACAAGTGTTGGATCGATAATGTTAAACTCTTGCGTTCTATTGTAAAGGTATTCATCTCTACATGTCGGGGGTAGACTTACTGGGTCTATACTGGGCGTTGGAATCGGTGGTTCCATCGTTGGCTTCTCTGTTGGAATCGATCTGAAAACCACATTTGGCTAGGTAATTGGATGAATGATTATAGTTTTTCTTATATATTAAGTTGTTGGCATATACAGGGTGTCCATAAAATACATTTAAGGACTAAAAAATGAATCCTCATTCTAAAAGGAAGAAAAAAGTTTATTTATTTATTTATTTATCTATATACGGTAAACACCATTTTACATTGTACATACATTGCAATTTTTTACAGATGGCCAAAAAAAGATGACCTAATAATGCATGCGTGTGACCATTACAGCTATCTACTACCTACACTAAGAATCAACGAAACAAAGTTGAGAAAATAAATTTATGATAAATATCACAGCAAGTGGCAACAAAGAGTAAAGACTAGTTGACATGCAGGAACAATAATAACAATAAATATTGACGAAGTAGAGACTAACAATAAGCTAACCCAAAATTATGAAACACTACAAAATAAATACATATTTAGTTTATGTGAAGGTATGTCCAAAACTCCCAGTTATCCATTATTTTTTTTTATACAAACCTATTTTTATTACTTAAGTTTTTCATTCAATGATTATGAAATTTGGTAACCATGTTAACATACACAAGACATATTATAGAAAAAATAATAAAGTTGTTCCAATTTTAAATTTCAATATGGCGGTCAATTGAATTTTCATAACTTAAATAACTAAAAAAACGGTTAATTTAAAAAACAAAATGTCAAGAATATTTTTTTCATTTTTAATTCTCTATCAAACAATAGCAAGATCAAAAAGGTCGGACAAAAGATAACAGAAATATACAGTTTTTTAGCTGCAAGATAAGGCAAAATTAAGGGTTCCCCGACTAACTTTGCCTCATTTTTACACAAACACGGTACATTTCAGTAATCTTTTCCCGATCGTTTTCATCTTGGTATCGTTAAATAAGTATTTAAAAAGCAAGAAAGTATACTTGTAACTTTTTTTCATAAAATTAACCACTTTTGAGTTATTTAAGTTATAAAAATTCAAACGGCCGCCATTTAGAAATTTACAACTAAAACAACTATATTATTTTTTCTATAATAGGTCTTGTCTATCTTAACATGGTTTCATAATCCAAAAATCATAATCATCATATTATTTTCCAAATTCCATCGAAATGTCATAATCATCGAATGAGAAACTTCACAGATAAAAATATTTTTGTATAAAAAACAAAATGGCGAATAACTGGGTAAATATGCATTTTTGGACATACCTTCACGTGAACTTTTTTTCTTCCTTTTAGTTTGAGAATTCGTTTCCCAAAGTCCTGAAACGTTTTTTATGGACACCCTCTATATACCCAGGAAAATGTTGCGAACTTGAAGACATTTTAATTTAAGTACGGTACAACTGAATTTGTATTTAGATATACCCCCTAAGACGTCGTTATGGCCGAAGGTAGCTAAGCTAAGAAAAATTTGATAAAAAATGGAAATCAATAATATAAAACCCCTGAATTACCTTGGTAAGTAAGGGTTCACCTTTCCTAATGAGTATGTACTGTCCAAAATAGCTCTACATATGATTATGGCTCATATAATTAGGTACTGCAAGGAGAAAATAAACTAATACTTACGGTTGAATGGTCAAGCTCTTGCAGTATTGCTTTAACCTCAGTTGTTGACCGTCCAGATCAAATAAGTTGTGTTTTCGATTGTAAAATTCTATGAAGATCTCGATCAGGAACCGTTTGACTTCTTCTTTGTATGAGTAATATGGCCAGCCTTTTTGTACTAAGTCTTCCATCAAAGTCTTAACTCTAGATTGATATTGCCCTTTATTGTTCCCACCCTTAAAGTTCTCCACTCGGTATTTGGCCAAAAGAGTGTCGTCTAGTTCATTCAGAACTGTACACTTGTCATTGTTGTCCCTGACAAAGTTCAACACCAAATCAATCGGTCCGTCGTGGACATCAACCGTAACCATTCCGAGAGTTGGTTGTATACCTGCTAATACATAGTAGTACGTCAGCAGTACTCTGGGAATTACACATGGAAAGGTCACTTTGCACTTGAATGAACCCGTGGTGCAATCTAAAGACAGGCGTAGATCTCTGTTGACGGTGGTGCTTTGAACCAAACAGCCATCTTTTAGCTGCAGGTCCTGGATGTGTTCGGTGGAAGAGAAACTATTCGTCAGATTCAGGCTTTGAATAAGAACTCTCTTTTTATTTAAATTTAAACAAGAGCCTTTTACTTTGTTGATTGAAATTATTTTGGATGTATCAACCAAATTGAATGGGGAATATCTTTCTTGGCTGAACTCATCAGTACAAATTGGCAAGGTAGTTTGGTGTTTTGTAGTATTATCCATAGGATTGAAGTCGGGACTTACAGTTGGTGTATCCGTTGGTCCTACTGGTCTAACTGTTGGGCTAGTTGGAGGAATCACGGAAGGACACACATCATCCCTGGAAAACCATAATGTATTTGTACATATGATAAATGTTCCTTCATTATTTATCGATCTAGTTAATAGATAACGACAAGTATTGTGTTATTTAATATTTACTATTGGACTGTTAAATTTTTTGTTATTCATCTACCAGACTTTGTTTAAGGTTTGTTTTATGTTATATACTCATACTCACAACCAGATTTTTACTTCAAATGTTCACCTAAAGTTTTTACTTCGAAAACTGACATGATTTAGTGCTGTAACCACCTTGGGAATGAGTTGCTAATACAGCTATACACAGGTCCATAAACATTCAGGAGTACTTGACACTTAATGATGATAGTAAATAAAAAAATATTAACAAGATCAAGAGAGAAAAAAAAACCTAATTGCATCGAAACATCCAAAACACAAATTTAGTGATTGTAAGTGGTATTTAGCAATGAAGGAAAAAAAGTGATTTGGTGACGCATGAAACTGCAGAAATTTACGAGTACAACGATTTGAGTAATCCTTCTGATTGCTCCCTGCCGATATTTAAAAGCCAGCTCATGACTCTACGCTTAAACACAGCGACGCTGTCACTCTCCGCCTCTCGAATATGTGAAGGCAAGTTTCTATACAATGTATGACAAACGTAATAAGGTATAGTTTTATGGGTTGAATGGGAGAGTCTGGGAAAAGAAAAGCCGAAGTTAATGTTACTTCTAGTCAAATAACGATGTTGAACAGGAGAAAAAACCGAACATCAAGTTTTATGAAAATAAGAAGATTTTTTTATGAACAATTGTCGAATGTTTAAAACTGGAAAGTCGCAAAACAGTTGCAAGGAAGAAAATCTAGAGTTTTTATTTAAAATAGTTTTGATAACAGATCGTTGAACGACAGAAAGTGGTTCCAGAACAGTAGGAAGGGCACCACCCCAAGCCAGGATACCATACTGCAACACTGACTGCACGTAGGCAAAGTACACGATCCGCAACTGCTGCCCCGAATGCACCTCCCGAATCTGCGTGAATGCGTAAATGAGCTTACGTACTTTGTTTTTGACGCATTGAACATGCGGTGCCCAAGTCAATTTACTATCGATCACAACCCCTAAATACTTATACTGCTCCACACGTTCAATCACTCCACATGCGCAGCCAATCGCGAGTGCATCGCCACAGCAGTGCAGCTTCAAAGATCTCTCACCTAGTCCAAAGTTATTTCTAAGAAAAATAGGAAGACATTATAATATGTATTATAATCAAACCAAGATTTTAAATTGTGGAAATCTGTCGATGCAGAACCGTACACCTCGTCCCACGTACTGCCGGTGGTCACAACCGCCGTGTCATTAGCGAACAGTATCACCTTGCTATTTAATTTAACTTTAGATATGTCATTTATGTAAATAGAGAATAATAGAGGTCCGAGAGTACTGCCATGACCCACACAATATTCTACCGGTGTTATATCACTCACAACTCCATTTATGGAAACTACTTGTTCCCGAGACTTAAAATAGTTCGCAAACCATCTTAGAGTTGGCCCTTCGATACCTATACATTCTAATTTACTTATTAGCATGTTTCCGTCAATTGAATCAAAGGCGAAATTATTGTGGAAATTATTGTGTAAGATCCAAAAAAGTTATAAGATTTTTTTTGTTTTCACTGAATGATTCAAAGATAAATTTTGTAAGATCGAATAGAGCGTCTGAAGTATTTCTGTCGTTTCGAAAACCATACTGTGAACTGGAAACTAATTTTTCTTGATTTAAGTAATTTGACAATTGGATTTTCACACATTTCTCAAGTATTTTGGAAAACACCGTTAGAAGGGAAATGAAGGGAAAATGAAAGGGGAATGAATAAATAATATGAAACCCACGAATTACCTTGGTTAGTAAGGGTTCACCTTTCCTAATGAGTATGTACTGTCAAAAATAGCTCTACATATGATTATGGCTCATATAATTAGATACTGCAAGGAGAAAATAAACTAATACTTACGGTTGAATGGTCAAGCTCTTGCAGTATTGCTTTAACCTCAGTTGTTGACCGTCCAGATTAAATAAGTTGTGTTTTCGATTGTAAAATTCTATGAATATCTCGATCAGGAACCGTTTGACTTCTTCTTTGTACGAGTAATATGGCCAGCCTTTTTGTACTAAGTCTTCCATTAAAGTCTTAACCCTAGATTGATATTGCCCTTTATTGTTCCCACCCTTAAAGTTCATAACTACTCGGTATTTGGCCAAAAGATTGTCGTCTAGTTCATTCAGAACTGTACACTTGTCATTGTTGTCCCTGACAAAGTTCAACACCAAATCAATCGGTCCGTCGTGGACATCAACCGTAACCATTCCGAGAGTTGGTTGTATACCTGCTAATACATAGTAGTACGTCAGCAGTACTCTGGGAAATATACATGGAAAGGTCACTTTGCACTTGAATGAACCCGTGGTGCAATCTAAAGACAGGCGTAGATCTCTGTTGACGGTGGTGCTTTGAACCAAACAGCCATCTTTTAGCTGCAGGTCCTGGATGTGTTCGGTGGAAGAGAAACTATTCGTCAGATTCAGGCTTTGAATAAGAACTCTCTTTTTATTTAAATTTAAACAAGAGCCTTTTACTTTGTTGATTGAAATTATTTTGGATGTATCAACCAAATTGAATGGCGAATTTTCTCTGAATTGGTGATAGTCGTCAGTACAAGTAGGACTCGTTGTTTGGATACTATCAGGACCAAAGGTTGTAAATATAGACTCAGTTGTGTGAGAAATAGTTTGACTTTCACGCTCAATAGTTGTAGTGGGTTCATCTATATCAGAAACATCGAATGTAAATGTAGGCTCAGTTATAGGAGCAATAGTTAGACTTTCAGGCTCAACTGTTGAAGTCGCTTTATCTATTTCAAAATCAACTGTTGTAAACAAAGCCTCGATTGTGGGAGTAATCGTTATACTTTCTGGCTCAATAGTGGAAGTTGGTTCCTCCCTGAAAGAGAAAAATATCGTACTTTGTAATGTTTATTTATTCTACAATAATTTGTGAATATAATAAAAATATTACATTTTGTAATGTTTTTCAAGGTGAAAAGGCGGACCATGAGGAAAATTCTCTTGATCACATCATCCTGGGAGAATGAATTTTACCAAAGACCGAATAAAATTACGTTAAAGGTATTTAGGTACCAACGGTGCTCGAGACCTTTCGCGGCAACATATGTTGTGATTTAGGCGACATCATTGATCATCTCGCGTCAAATACCTTATGTAAGGCTCCTCCCGGAAATTTTTCCGTAATTACTTTCACCATTCAAAATAAGTATAAACTTAAATATCAGTTTTACTTTTACTTCCACAAAATTAAGAAAACTATTAGCATGTTATTAAAATCCTTCTTAAATTGGTAAAAAAAATTAATCAATTGAGGTTTCCAAAGCTTTAAGGAACGAACGCTATGTAGCTAGGTACCAATTTTGCCTGCACCCAGAATCGGGAATCTTTTTCGGCCAAGAACCGACTTTGAAAAATTGATATCTACAAATTAATATAAAGTTATACGACATACCATTCAAATAACAACTTGGTAAAAACTTACACAATTTCATCGCAGATTTGATGCAAGTCATTGATATGTGAAAAAACGTTACTGGTTTGGTAGAAAGCTTCCAGAATCACTCGAACTGCAAAGGCTCTGACTTCGTTCTTGTACATAGGATAAAGCCATATCTTCTTGGTGATTTCACGTTGTTTTTGACTGTTATTACTGCCGGTAATTGTAAATACTTTGTATGTGGACAGCAGATGTTCGTTATTGACCTCTGAAATCTTACAAACTCGGGTGTAACTCGGGTTACTCTTCTCAATAGTCACTTGCACCGTTATCGGATCGTCGTAGATTTCCATTAGGATCGGGGGCTTGAGTAAATCATGTTTTCTTTTATATCCTATTACCATTCTTGGAACAATGCAAGGAATGGTGACCACACAAGTGTTTGAATTCGATATACACTCTGTGGTTAGCTGTGCACGGTACGGAAGAGTTATACTTTGCACTAAGCAGCCATCACTAAGCACTTTCTGTATATTTTTGTACTGGGAATGATGTAGAGGATAGGGAGATAGTTGGCGGTCTTTGATCAGAACTCTTTTCCACGATGGATTGACACATTCATTAGGCATGTCAATATACTTGAGCACAAGTGTTGGATCGATAATGTTAAACTCTTGCGTTCTATTGTAAAGGTATTCATCTCTACACGTCGGGCGTAGACTTACTGGGTCTATACTGGGTGTTGGAATCGGTGGTTCCATCGTAGGCTTCTCTGTTGGAATCGATCTGAAAACCACATTTGGCTAGGTAATTGGATGAATGAATATAGTTTTTCTTATATATTAAGTTGTTGGCATATACAGGGTGTCCATAAAAACATTTAAGGACTATGGAAATGAATCCTCATTCTAAAAGGAAGAAAAAAGTTTATGTGAAGGAATGCCCGTAAATGCATACACACCCAGTTATCCACCATTTTGTTTTTTATACAAACATATTTTTATCACTGAAGTTTTTCATTCGATAATTATGAAATTTGGTAACCATGATAACATACGCAAGACCTATTATAGAAAAAAATAATAAATTTCCGATTTTCAATCTCAAAATGGCGGTCAATTGATTTTTATAACTTATATAACTAAAAAATGGCTAATTTTTTGAAAAAAAATGTCAAGAATACTTATTTTACATTTTTAATTCCCTATCAAACAATAGCAAGATCAAAAAGGTCGGACAAGATAAAACTGAAATATAAAGTTTTTTTAGC